TCCTCACACGCATCAGCTGGAGTACAGGGGGCACCTAAAGGACGCTGAGGAACTGAAACAAATAGTATTAGAGTTATTGGTTTGAGAGTTACACGGGGCAAACCTGTCCTCACACACATCAGCTGGAGTACAGGGGGCACCTAAAGGACGCTGAGGAACTGAAACAAACAGTATTATAGGCATTGGTTTGGGAATTAAACAAACCAAATCTTTCGATCTTCAGGTATTTCAACAGGGATGCTGGATGTTCTTAAATTTAAAACACAAGTATTATAAGTATTTAAAGTATCACAGCTATGATGAGATAATAATAAGGTTGCTGGACATAATTAAGTTCTGGACAAAGAATCATATTTCATCCGGGTGTTTATTTAGGACTTAAAAAGAAATTCAATAGATATGCTTATGTACAGTATATTTCCTAAATATCCTGAAACAAACATAAGAAGAAGCATGGAATATACACAAACACAGTCTGTTGATTTCACCTACCACAAACTTCTTGTTTCTCGTAGGAGTTCTTCAAACACAAACAAATTCCCTGACTGCACTGTGTGTTAGCATCTGTGCATTTCTCTTCTCCTTTGACTGCTTCTAGACATGGGGCATTCAACTTGCCCTTGGCTCCTGTAAAGATAAGAAGGGTTATCTTAATATAAGGACTATGTAACATATCCACAGCACTGGAATCTTATAGATACGAGCCAATAGTTCCTTGATTACTGTGGGTTTTACAATGCAGACAAATATTATTGAAAATAAATAAAATTTTCAAACTAATTCATGAATCTCATTTTGCATTTTCAGAAGAAAGAAATTATGCAAGACAAAAAGTATTAAGTATCCCATTACGGAAGTACATATATTTAAACACATACTGCATTTGCCTCCCTGTTCAAAGTAGCCATTTCTACATCTACAGGCGTCCTCTCTACACTCTGCATTCCCGTCCAGACACTGGTCTTTGTCTTCAGCCTTGCAATAGTTGTTCAATGGAATCTTTTCAACTAAAAAAAGGGGAAACATACAAAACAATGACCAGTAAGTAGTTTACAGGACCAACTGAACTGTCAAAAAATGTATAAAAGAAAACACATTTTGATAACTAGTATCAACACTGTGAAAAGTATGTAATATGAATGTACATAGCAGTAGTGCATCAAAGATTTCATACCACACTGTCCATTTTTCTCAAAATAGTCCTGCTGACACTGACAGATTCTGTTACATCTGGCATGACTGTCTCTGCAAGTGTTGTCTGGCAGACATGGTTGCCCTAATTCACCAAGAGGTTCTGAAAAATTTCATACCAAGATTACTCAAATTATTGTCAAAATTAAAACAGACATTTAACCTACTAAAAAATTAACACAAAAGAATTAAGAGAGAAGACAACAGAGAACACAATTTTCTAAAGATATCACGCTAATTATATCTCATATTGCCGATCAGTGATTTATTGTTAAATGACATCTTTATACTTTCATTAACCAAATCTTATTGTTTTACAATTTTTAAAGAACAGCAATCAAATTCATATTAATCATATCTTCACAAAAGATTCACTTCATATCTCTGCACTTACTGCACTGGTCTCCAGATCTGCCATAGTCTGGTTTACACAGACACAAGGTGGCAGCAGTATCTCCTCGCCTGCACAGAACATCTTCCCCAGCACAAGAGTCGCCTGGCTCACATCTGGACCCATACGGGATGTCTGGTCCTTTGAAAGAAAAAAAAAACAATTGTATCATATGTTGTTTCTATTTTAATTTAAAATTTAGCATCAAATTTAAGCTTTCAAATTTAAAATTAGTTAAAATTAAAATTAAATTAAAATTAAATTTAAAAACAGTTAAAATTAAGCATGCAATTATTCTTTTTTAAAGTGCTGTATAGCAAGTTAATAACTTGAAATTCATGTCAAGTCAAAAAAGGAGGTTTAGAACTTAACATACTGAAGTTAGTTAAGCGCTTCCACCTATATCTACAGAAGGTGAAGCCATTTTAACTGTCCAATTTTCTGAAAGCAGAAATGGATTTTACTTACTGCAGACATTGTTCTTGTAAAAGTATCCTTTCTTGCACATACAGAGCTCCCTGTCACACTCGGCATTGGTGATCAGACACCGCTGGTTACTGAGGCATGGAGTCAAGATCTGACCATTGGAAACTACAAGATAGAGGTTATAATCTTACAGTGGGTACCATATGCTACAATGTTAGAATAAGAAGCTGCTGTTTGCCACTAAAATTCAATAATCAATTCTTGGATGACAACAGATTATAGTGTCAATGATATTATTTTCAAAATTTTAAAAGAAATGGTGTATAGAGCATGTTTTTGGTTTTCTAACTTTATTTATTCTGAGAAGAATGTGGTACTATTCTTTAAGAATGTTACTACAGTTACTCAACACATGATGTAATACTTTTGATGAAAAAATATTAACATATTTTTTTAATGTTTGAAAATTTAGCAAAGTTCTCTTACTGCATATGTTGTCAGAGTTTGGTGAGAAATCCACTTTACAAAGACATCTGTTGTTCTGACAAACAGCATTCTCGTCTTTACACACATCTTCCTCAGTGCAGGAGCTGTACAGCTGCTTCTTAGGATCTGGCCAGAAATAAGGAATGTGTGCAATAACAGAAGATTAAAGTTTATAACTGATGACCAGGTTAATTACCATGTGTTTCTTTATGTATGTAGTCTTCTAATTAATGGTTGAGCAATACTTTGTCTGGACACACAATTCATCGTTACTGATAGATATACTAACTATATTGTGGAATTCTGAGCAAAAGTCCATTATTTCTAATCTTTTATGCAAATTAGAACAACCAGGGGCGGATTTAGGCCGTCTTCTGGGTCTTCCGGAAGACGGTCAGATTTTAAAGTTTACATTGACGGGTATTTAATATTTTCTGTCGGAAGACGGTCAAAAATGGAGGACGGATTAACAAAAATAATTTGGAAGACTCAGAAAATATCTCTGGATCCGCCCCTGACAACACTGCTTTGCCTTTGAAAATTCTAAATGAAGATATATACTCAAACAAACAATGTGCACAGTCTTGATGGAGTACAGTCAACATACCACATTTTCCATTTTTCTCAAAATGTGTTTCCACGCAGACACAGGTCCCTCTCAGACACTGAGCAAAGATGTCATTACAGGTTCCTGATGATGTACAGGGGCCATTCAGGTCTCCACGGGGGGCTGAAATAGGGAAAAAATATTAAGAGGGGACAAGTTATGCAATGTTCTAATCTCTGACCAATTATAAAGTACTTTATAATATCTACATTCAAGCAGGGTTTCACATTTTATGAAAGTATAAATTGAGCTTCTTTTTCTTTGCTTTGCAAGGTCACACATTTTTAACACTGCAATTGCCCTCTCTCTATAATTTAAAAACAATTCTTTGTATTCTCAAAATGGTCTTTTTTTTTGGTTTTATGCATAATCACTTGCTTCAAAAATACAAAGCAGTCACCTGTGAACTGCTCTATAAAGAATACTTATTAGCATTATTGGTGAAGTAAACTTACCACATACAGGGCCAGTAGGTGTTTCCTTCTGGTAGAAATCTCTCTGACACCTACACCTGCCCAGCCTGCACTCTGCCTCTCCATCTTTACACACCTGGACACCTGCCACTGACCTGCATGGCTCTCCAAGCTCTCCTAATGGAACTGAAATAGAAACATGGGACACACTAGAGCAAGGCTTCTTTTGTACTGATAACTCAACACCACTATGTACTGGCCCCCATTTGGGTCTTACAATGGAAGTGAGACAAAACTACAGTGAAAAATAAGATAACTGTTGTAATGAAGATGCAATTTTTCAGTTAACAATAACCCATAAGGCTTACAAATCTTTGTATACAGGTATCAAAGTTCAGCCATGAAGAAAATATTATAAGTTATCAATACAACTTTAAATGCTCGCTCAAAAAGTGCAAATTAATATTCATATTTTTTCTGGATTATTAAAAAAAATATAATAACATAATTTCTCTCTTACCACACTGTCCATTCATCTCAAAGTACTCCCGCTGGCACTGACAAATGTTGTTGAAGCACTCAGCCTGTGGCACAGTACAGGGTTCTCCAGGAGTTGTCAGACACTGGAGACCTAGCTTGCCACCCTCCTCTGAATAGATATAGATGTTTGATGCAATTGTATAGAAATCTATGAATTAAAATCTGTTAGTTGCTTTGTGAAATTCTCCTTGAAATGCAAATAAAATGTATTAAATCTGTATTAACACCAGATTGCCAGAAACCCTATAAGTAAAAAATATCATAGGACTAAGCTGGATCTCACTTGCTCCCTTATAAAGTCAATACACAGTTAAAAAAAGTGCAACAATCTTGGAAAAAACTTTACAATGCCACCTTTCTAAAACCTCCACAATTAAGACAATGTTATCACAGGAATGACCTGCAGCACTCACCACAGTTTCCATCGACCACCTGGAACCCCTCAGCACACTTGCATCTTCCTCCCTGACAACGAGAATTGTTCCCCAGACACACGTCACCTGGGAAACATCTGTCACCTGGGCCTGGCTTTAACTCTACAGGAGAAACATGTATCTGTACAGTATCCTCAATCATGTTTTACATTGCAAATATGTACCTAAGTGTGTATGTCTGTGTTAGAATGCATGTCCTTTTTTAAAAAACTAAAATCAATAACCCAAGATTTTACTTATTAACTTTGTACTATCATATTCTGACACTTTCTGATAATAAAAACTTAATGGCTATATATGATGATTGATTATTTTGAAAGACTAGCAAAATGAAATTAAAATTTGTTACAACATACCACAATTTCCAAACTTCTGAAAGTAGTCCTGCTCACACTCGCAGATATTTGTGGGTAAGTGGCAGACACTGTGTGTGTCAGTGCACCTAGCCTGGGGAAGGCATGGTTCATTGAGGCCACCACGCAGTCCTAGTGAATAGAAATATAACCAGCCATGTATCAGCTGGCCTGCCATGCAATGAGGAGGCCTGCACTGAGCATGGTTCACAAAATAACTGTAGACCCAAAATTGGTCTAAACAACTTCAAGACCAAAAATTTTGTCTAAGTAGGTTGCATGTTAGTTTCACAAAAAAACTCAAGTCAGTTTCCTGGCTAAGGATGTTTGCATCCACTGTTGTAATGTTGGTAACAGACTGGAACTGACTTAAGGGTTTTTTTTGTGAAACAGGGACCTGGACAAATTCATCCTAGTCTGCTGAAATAAGGTAAGTATTGGTCTAAAAACTCAGAAAAGTCTTTCTAGTTTAAATACAGCTGCCATAATCCATTAGACTGGATTACTGCTAATTTAGCATGAGTGAAAGTAGACAAAAATTTTGGTCTAAAGCCTAAGAACAATTTTTGGGCTAAAGTTATTTTGTGAAGCACACTCCTAATGCAGGTTAACTGCAGACATTCTAGTGCAATTAAAATCATGATTGTTTTGACAATCATTTCAGTCACAAAACCCCTTAAATAACTACTAGTAGCTTACCTTGTAAAAACACCCAAGTCATATCTGATACATACCTTGGCACAGGGGTCAGCTTAAAACTATATTCAAAAGAACTGCTCTTTTTGGACAGATTATCAACTTTAAATTTACAAATAATTCATGTTGTGTTGAGATCACATTCCTCAACTTACTGCAAGCCTGGTCCTGTATACTGAAGTAATGGTCAGAGGAACACTGACACGTTCTTCTGACACACTCTGCATTCACGTCTGCACACTCACTGGTCGTAGCGCAACTTCCATTGATGGGTTTCTTTAAGACTGGAGGAAAAGCAAAAATTCATAATATTGATGATGTGATCAAGGTCTAGTGAAAGTAGACTAAAAGCTTGACTGACTTTAAGTATGATTAAACAGTGGAAATAAGTTTAAATTAGAGTTTAAATTGAAAGAAAGTTTAAATTGAAAGACAAAAATATACCAGTTCTAAAATGGTCATAGATTTAAAAATATGCATTATTACTTACTTAACTAACCTCTTTGTCTCATGAGGGATTTAAGGTCACAATTACATCATTATTTGGAATTAAAAGAAATTATCATTTAGATTTACAAAAACCAATGAATAAATGAAAATGAAAAACATTCTCTATACATGTACACATGTATGGATCAGTACAAGAAAACCCGCTACTCACTGCAGCTCTCCCCAATCTTCACATGTCTTGGGTTACACACACACTCCCCACTCACACAGCGTGTGTCGTCATCTGTACACCTTACTGGAGAGCTCACTGGCAGACACGGGGTGTCTACCTTGCCACGCTCCTCTGAAATTAGCAAGAAATACATACATGAATTTAAAGGATTATATCAACCTTGCCTTATGGACAAAAATAACATTTACCCATCAGAGATTGTATGTTTCTTTTTCAAGCAGTAACATTCTTGTTATCTAACTGAAATAGACTTTGTGACAATTGAACTAATTTTTTAATTTGATACAACACTGGTGTGCTAGCATGCAAAATTTCACTTTATTTTCCATTTACACTCTTACTCAAAGATATCATATTAAGTATCATGGTTCTATTGTTTATATAAAAATCTACTTCTACACCACATTTAGTACAGCCTTACTATTATTTCTGTACACTTACTACACTGTCCATCCTTATAGAAGAACTCTGGCTTGCAGTCACATATCCCAGCAGCAGTACACTCAGCATTCTGGTCAGCACACACATCTTCAGAGTTACGCACACAGCTTGACTTGGTTGGAATATTTGGCACTACAATGAATGAACAACAGGAGGAATAGTATTAAGATGAAGTCAACATACTAGCTAACATCAATAAGTTAATTTTTGAAAACACTGAAAAATATTTGAAATGAAAAATATAGTGGAATTGCCAAAAAAAAAAAAATCACAGTTCCGCTAATGACCTATGGCAATATGTATCCATTTTAATTTATATAAGTTACTGTACACACTATCAATATTGCCCAAAAAGTTATTAGTATCATTGGTAAACATCAACTCACCACAGCGGTTGTTCTTGATGTGGTGTTCTCTCTGACATACACAGGTGTCGTTGCCAGGGTTACACTCTGTGTTTGGGTCATCACATCTTGGGATATACCTCTCAGGCAGACATGGTTTGGACAGCTTACCTCTGGGTACTGGAATGACAGACAAAAATATTCCTTTAACTTTTGCCTGGTGTTTTGCAAACAGTTATTGTTTTGTTGGGTCAAAATAGTTTAGCTTTGTTGAACTTTGATGAATCAAATTTGTAGGAATTAAAATATAACAATGCTACTTAAACAAACATTTCTAAAAAAAAAAAATGCAACAATAAATTAAGAGAGACATCTTTAATACAACAGTTAAATTATATTTTTTTGCTTGTGTGCTCAAATATGAATCCACATTTACAACAAAAAATCCCATCTCACGCCTATTGAGAAGTTCCAATTATTTATTTTAACTTACAGCACTGCCCAGTCAGTGTGTCCACATAGAACTCTGGCAGACATGTGCATTTCCCTGTGACACACTCTGCATTACTACCACACTGCTCACCAGGGGAACAAGATGAGCCTGGCTGGAGTTCAGCAACTTAAACAAAATGAAATACCTCCGACATTTTTCATATTACTCACAAGCATTTTCTCGTCGCAATTTTCAAGATAAATTGTCACACAAAAAATTACAGAGAATTCTAAAGATTTTACTATGGGTAAATGCAAAGTCAACTTATATTCACATATGGCAAAATTAAATGTTGTATCAATTTTAGCCCTCTACTCACCACAGTTGCCATTCTTGTCAAAGAAGCCTGCCTTACACTGACATCGTCTTGTGATCTGGTCACACACAGCATTGGGGTCAGCACACTGTCCACTGCCAAGGGTACACTGACCACCATTACCTGTCTTCTCAACTAAAACAGGCAAAGATTTAATGCATGCTAAATTACTGTAAGAATACCACACACAATATGTCCTTAGTTTTATCACAACATTTTTGAAAATCTGCCATTATCTTCTGTTTCTAGTGTTTTGGGATATTCATCAATATAATTATCCCTTACTTTACCTTTTTTCCTGTCTCACTTCATATATCATTAAGAATGGCAGCCAATATTAATCAATAATCAATGTCATATATGACTTAAGTTACTCACCACATCTTCTGCCGCTGAGGTAATGAGTGCTGACACATTGACAGGTGCCATTCTGACAAATGGCATTGTCATCACTACACTGGTAGGAGGGGCCATCACAAGCTCCACCCACATCTGGTTTTTGTACTGAATATCAAATAAAATCACTATTTTAGGAGAAACCACTGACAAAATGTTCCAAAAAAAAAAAAAAAAAAAAAAAAAAATTGCAAGCCATTTATTTAGAACTTGAATGGGATTAAGAATATTTCAAATAACCAAACCAAAACAGAATCTGAAAAGCACTTCTGACTATTCTCATTTGCAAAAGTTATATGAATTTATATGAAACAATTGCTCTTGTTTACACTGTCATGATTTAATAATGCAATTACTATACCACATCTTTCATTGAGAGGAAAGAATCCTTCCTTGCATATACACTGCTGATCACACCTTGCATTACCATCAGCGCACTGGTCGTCATCTTGACACGGGGCACCAATGCCAAACCGCGGCTCTGAACATAATGTGAATATCAATGTAAAACAAGACCAGTTAGAAACTAGATTCATTGTTCCATTAAACCTGATGGACCAAAGGCACAATGGAGTGCTATATGGAAAAGCTCAATATTCTGAGAGAGAATATCTCATTAAAATAATATAACTCAAAATCCGTAAGCATTTCTTTAAGATGACCATGCAGTTGTAACTAAGTAACAAAATTTTACAGAAGCATAAGCAACATTCTGAGGGGAGGAATCTAAACATGGAGAACTTTTTAGTGAGCACTCACCACATTTATTGTTGAGAAGAGCATATCCTTGCTTACAAAAACATTTGTCTCGTATGCACTCTGCGTTATCATCAGCGCAAATATCCAGAGATGTGCAATCACCACTCGTCGGAACTTTCCGTACTTGATAAGAACAAAACAAGAAACAAAATGGTCTACATGTCTACAACTACAAGCATAAAGTTCACAAAAGGAAATTCTCACCATTACCAATTTAGTCATCTAGAAACAGCAAAGAGAAGACAAAAGGTTGTGCCTAAAAAGTACCATTATCAATCCTTAAAGAAGAAACTTCATGTCACTAAGTACTGAAAAATCTATAAAATTTCTTAGTCTGCACTACCTACAAAGCTCAGTGACAAACATATGAACTAAAAGTGTCTCCAAATGACCAGATAATGTAGAAAGTTCCACAGAAACTTCCAAAACACATATCCAAAAGCTTCACTTAATCAACCTGGTCATCTCAGATGACCACAGTTTGACCATTTCTGCTCTAAGTTAACACAATTCTATATGCCACTCTATTCTACACATGACATAAACCCTTAGGCAAAGGATACTTTTTCTAAATGTCAATTCAAAGAAAGACTATTAACCAAACGATAAATGCTAGATAAAAATTTATCACTTGGTAACATACCACATTTTCCCATGAGAGTGTGATAGAAATGGGTGTCAATGCACTGACATCTTGCAAGATGACATCTCCCAAACTCGTCCAAGCAGACGTCACCCAAGTCACAGACACCATTGATGGGGATCTTGGGGGCTGAAGGATTTTAGTTCATAAAGTTATTTCTTTTTAAATCAATATTTCCCCATTTTCCAGTGGTACATCTTGTTATAAACACTTAAGTAAATAGTGAATCTCTATTATATTACTTGAACAGGATTGATAAATCCCGTACCTTAATTTTGTTTACTAAATTAATTTAGCAGGAGCATAATGTTTAATGACATGTGACTCTAACTAAATTTAAACCATGGCATACAAAATGCACCACTTACCACATTTAATGTTCTTAGCAAAGAATGTGTCAGTGCAGTGACAGCGGCCATCTTTACAGTTGGAGTTGGGGTCTGCACACTGGTCCACAGACTCCGTACATCTCTGGTTCAGCGGGATCTTCAGAACTGGAATAAAATTCATTCATGATCTTTACTAAGTAAGGAAATTAATTTCCTTTACCCAACCATAATGAGCAGTCTGAAACAATTATTTTCATTAAGACAAAAAGTCTTCCTGGTAATAAAGGCATATGAAAATTTCAACATACACGTAGTTATGCTGTGAGGACAAAAAAATTAACAACGGGTTCAGTAGCATTAGTAAGATTAATATTTGTAAAACTGTGGACAAAATATAAAAGAGATATAACAGCAATCAGTGCTGCTTGTAGCATACAACTTACCACATTTGCCATTCTTTTCATAATATTCTCCTTTGCAGTAACAGGCTCCCACCAAGCAGGCAGCATTTTCATCTTTACACACATCCTGAGATGAGCAGCCATCATTGAGACCCAGCTTTGCAACTGAAAAATGAATATTACAAAAAGTCAGTCACTAACATATCATCTTCTGATTACTAAATGGCAATAATCATTGTAAATAACAGAGAAAATAAACTTGTGACATACAGAGTTTTCATAAATAATGCTCAGCGCTTGCTGGTTTTCTTTGACTTTTTTGTTTGATCAAAATACTCAAACTATAACTCCAAGTATAAGTGCAACTGTAAAGAAAAGTTTGCTACTGATTGGTCAGTTAACATACCACATCGTCCACTCTTCTCGTAGTGGTCATTGTTACACCTACACGCCCCTGCCTGACAGGTAGCTGCCACGTCTGCACACTCCTCGTCTGGGGCACAGCGGTCACCCAGGGGGATGGAGGGACCTGGAGAACACATCATAACCCAAGGGGAATATTTAGTGGGATTTGAATGCAAATTAGTGGGAAAATTACCAGATATTAAAAAAATTCTCTAGTGCATAAAACAGTTATAAAAAATAAAAAATGATACTATGTTTGTCACTCTTCCAGTTGTATTTCACAAAGAAAAGTTTTTGAAATACAATATTAAACTTACAATTTTAATGAGAATGGTTCACCCGTTTTCTCGGTAGACATAAATGTAGTAGCTGAAGTTTGCCAGACAGAGACACCACTTCAACTAGACTAAAATATCAAGTCCATTAATACATTATAAAAACTTCCTTTATATGAACCATAAACACTTACGGCACATGCCAGCCTTGGGGAAGTATCCCTGTATACAGCGACATATCCCAGACTGACATCGTCCAAATTGGTCCACACACTGGTCTAAGGCACTCTGACACCGGGAACCCAGGGCTATCTTATAGTCTGCAAGGAGTTACACAGATTATCAGTGAAATGTGGGGTAAATGCCATTTTTATATTCAATTCATACATGTATCTTTATACATTTATAAAATTTATCAAAATAGTATATCAAAAACTAAAGGTATATGTTATTTTTTATATATCTGGTAAAAATTGTATCTTTTTTCCTTAACCATTAACATGATTACGTGTATTCAGTGCATAAAAATTTGGAGACAAAAGTTAATTGAACATTTCCCAATAAAATATACATATTATTTAATATTACTCTATTAAGGAAGTATTTATGTATTTCCAATAAACATGGCAATATCTGAAAATTTAATCTCATTGAGAATGTTTCAACACAATAAAAACTCACCACAGCTTCCATATTTCTCATAAAAATCTGGTTTACACCTGCAGCGCCCTCCTCTGCACTCTGCGTTGGTACTGTTACATATGTCTGGGACTGCACACAAACCATTCAGGGGAATGTGGGGGACTAAAGACAATGTAGAAATGTGAGTTTTTAAATGATCTGCGTCAATTTCTTAACCATTCACTTCTACACATCTCTGACTTCAGCTGTGCTTATAGGGATGAAACAGCATGTACATGTACAGTATGATTCCAATTGTAAAGGTACATTTGCTTCTACATGTAAATGTAATTAGGATGGTGAAAGTACATGTAGATATAGATAATTACAGCAATATAGCCTTTTTCACTGATCCACCATTCACACCTTTATTCAGGTAGGACAACTGTGCAGGTAATTAGTCTACCTGTTAGTGGTGGTTACCTGTTAAAGGCTGGATATACCTGTTAAAACTGTCACTAGTGTCCTTGACACCTTTCTACTGGGTAAAAGGCAGCTATATGAATTATCTGATTTAAGTGTACAATAGGAAATAGGAGAGAGACATAGCTGTGAGTGTAATCAGCTTTACACTGTGACAAAATTAAGAAAGACAAAGTCAACTCCTCCTATATCATTGACAAAACAGAGAAAACCAGACAATGCCATCACCAGCTTGCACTTATGTACTATTTTCTAGAACATCTCTACCACATACTCCTGCAGTGACTCAGATTTGAAGAGTTTTTATACACATAAAATGGGTCATTAAATCTAGATCAGCATATGCCAGCTGATGTGAAAAAATCTTTGGGATCATATCCAGGTGAGAAGTAAAATTTAACACAATGGAGCCTAAGTGATTTTAAACATTGGAAAAGATATATATATATATATGTGAATACAGACAAAGACAAGTCAGAAATATAGTTTAAAAAAATAGTGACCAAACAACTCTAGAAGTAAGAGGTGCATATATTAAGAACATACACTGTGTAATTGTCATATTTCTGCCCTGGGTTTATGACAATTCCAACTTTGAAAACACATTAATTCAATATAAATGCTGCACCTACAGTAGCATAGTAACATCTGTGCCATTAAAAACCTGATCTTGTATCCTGAGGGATGGTAATAGCATGGCGCTGAGTTCAATTTTTTAATGAGCAGTTCCCTAGCCCAAGGTAACATATTTAAAATTCAATTCAAAATTTCTAGAAGTGTTATCCTTATGTGTAAGTCTTGCTATACCGTTGCAATGTTTAAAAAATACCCATAAGCAACAGAAATTTAACATCAAATTAACACAACTTGTACCTCTTTGGAAATTTTTGAAGCCAGTATGCATACATGTAACTTCCATCTTTTTTTATTTACATCGTGCATAGATCTCTACTGAAAAGGAAACTATACTGCTTCTTGGCACCTAGCTCTTTAGCTCAAATAAGATATACTGCATGTAATGTAGTGGTAATGAAATTATAAAAACAGTATCAAATTAAAAAAAAATAAAAATAAAGAACCATAAAATATGGAATGAAAAATGTGTTATGAAAACAAACTTAATTTGTCCAGATTACCATTTACAGAAAAGTTAACCTGGTCAATAAAAATTTAAAAAGAGATTTTTAAATATTGCTCACCACAAACTGGATTTCCGTTGATGATTTTAGCAAAGTATCCTTTGACACACCTGCACTGTAGAAAGTCAGGGTCACAGTGAGCATTGTTGTCTTTACAGCGGTCCAGATTCAGCTCACAGGGCTGGTTCAAACTAATTCTAGAACCTGCAGTTAGAGACCAGAAAACATTGCAAAGGAACAAAGAAAAAATCTTGTTTTTAACTTTCAGTTTAAGGACAGGGTTTAAGCCTACTCCAACACAAAATAAACTGAAGTGTAGAAGTCCATTTAAATAAAATACTGTACCAATTATGTGAAAAAAAAAAATTTATTATAGATCTACTGGCACCTCATTCATTTTAACAGCTATTATTTTATATGATTATCACACAAATATAAACAAAACATACCATATCTACTGTAGTGGACATACTACTACCACTTACGTATTCTGTCCAGACACTGGTATTCTAAATGTAGGTAGTTGGTTAAAATTTCCACATCATCAGTTNGGCGGAACGATCCGGACGAGACCGAAACCATGTGTACCGCCAGCGCTAACGCTGGTGGTACAATTACAATTTCATGGTGATAAACTACAAATGAAAATACACTGGAATGATATCTAACCCCCTCCCCGTTTATCACTCCATCATAACCCTATTGTTGCCTATTGCAAATATGTGGAGTTTGAAGTTTGATAAATGATGCTGTACATCACTTGCACTTGAATTTTAATCAAGATTAACATCTGGTTTTTTAAAAAAGTTCTTTCCGTCTAGTCTTAGTTGTTCAGCATATTTTCTGTTCTCTGAGTGAGAGATATGATTAACTATTTAATTCTTGAGATGGAAAGCTGATCGAGTGGCTTTTGTTCACAGTAGAAGCCATCGATAAATCTACACAAAATTAACTGGACACTAGTGGTTCACTGTCTTACCATTCACCCCTGCAAGCTGTTTATATCCCCTAAATTCTGCAACATCCTTACAGCCTTTTCCTCTACCGGTAGTTTTTAAAAGCGGAAGTTGAAAAAAATAGGTAAACTTATGCGCAATCTGAGTGCGATCTCAACTACTGCATTGTATGACGGCGGTAAATTTGTTTGGAATGAGTACGCATGTGGTAGCACTCAAACCTGCTTAATTATATTACGCATTTTTAATATGACCTAAAAAGCATACAATATCGATCATTCTACAATGCATTTCGTCTAATGGTCAATTAACTATATAATTATTCATACCTGTTTGGAATGACAATTGCCAGAGGGAGATTTTCTCACGCGCCATACTTCAACCATCTCGACACACACACACACACACACACACACACACACACACAAAAGGGGGGGAGAGAGGAAAAACAGAAAAAATTAAAATCTTGTTTTTAATCAAAATATGTCGTTTTTTTCAGTGCTTTGAAAAGAAATGCCTCATTTCATAAGAAATGTAAAAACAGTTTGTTATGATCAAATACATTGACTACATTAGATAATAAAGAATAATCATATCGGCAAGTAATTTTAATTGAAAGTTAAAAGTTAGTATATGAAATGACACGCTTCGATATTTATCTTTATTTATCACTCATTCGGAATATATAGGTCCATTTGAAGAAAAAAGAAAAGTGAAAAATGAAGTTAAAGATATATTCGTTAATTCTATTTTTTCTAAATCTCTAGTGACAAAAATTGATAAATTTAGTTTTTGTGTAAATCGTGAAAAAAAAATTAATTCGTGCCTTGCTAGAATGGAGAAATTTTCTTATTTTGTAACAAACATGGTAAATTATATTTATCTAGGTACAATTATCAAAAGAAATTTGATCGACAATATACAACCAATTAAGCAAATTTGTCGCAGTAGTGAAATAAATAGCTTACGTTTCACTTGGGACTGTAAAATGGTTGCTTGCTCTTTACCTTCAAATTAATTTTTTTAAGTGATATTGCCAGTTTCTTCGCCTATTTTTGGGTTTTAAGTTGCTTTTTTATTTATGTGATTATCAATAAAAAAAACGGGCAACTTTGCTAAGATGTACATTATTCACACCTTCGGTTACACGGACTTTTACTGTCGCTGTCCATTGTAGTTAGGCCTACAGGAGGCCATCCTGTAATAAACCGTCATATATCTATCATGATACAATATCTATTTGCTTTTGCAAATTTTGTACATAAAACGCAAATGATTAGTGTCAAATAGGCCTATAAGGAGTCTTGTCTATTCACTTGTGAATTATTATTTTCAGTATATAGGTACCGTACTTTCTAGGAAAACAGAAAAGTAAAAATGAAGTTAAGGATATTTTACCGAATTCTTCTTTTCATACATGTATATCTCTGGTGACAGAAACTAATAAATCTGGCCTTTTTTAACTAAATAATTGACATTTTTAAACGGGTTTTACACGATTTAGTTGTTAAGCTATTTCAAACAGCACAAAGGTGCAAAGCTCAATGTTAAAAGTTTTCAAAATAAAATTGGAAATACTCCAAAACTAGCATAAATACGCCTATATAGTTACTATTGAACTAGTATAGCAAACCAAATATTGGCAATGTTAAAGTGACCTTGAATTTGACCTTTGACCTACTTTTCAATCGTGAACTGAATTTTGCCAATTTCACCTAGGGCTTTTCTAGCCCTTGTATCTGCAAAGCAGCAGAGATACACCCATAGTTACTACTGAATTTGAATAGCACATTATATAGTCGGAATATTAATATGACCTTGAAATTGACCTTCGATTTTTTTTTTTTTTTTTTTTTTTTTTTTTTT